GATTGCTCTCAATGGAATAGAATTAGGATTTATAATTCTCAACACGTGAGATTGGAGAAATAATTTAATAACCCTTTAACGAGTATTTGAATGCTAATTTGATTAATTCCAAAGCTCTATTACTCTGAAAACATTGAAAGACACACAGCAAATTTACATCATCCTACTACACCGAAGGAAGCACGTAACACTCAACTTTAGTTTTCAGTAGACATAAGACATACAGAACGACTAAAAGCATATAATACCAGACTAAGCTAGCGCCGGACCAGTCGGATTTAGTCCATCTCGGTCTGTCATACAAATGGAACCATTGGTTCCTGTAAAATTCCATAACCGAAACCAGTTCTGGCCGGTTCTCAATAACCCCAGACGAACCTAATTTCACCTACCTCTACTGGTCTAATTCAAACTCTAACTCTGAACATTTGCTAAGTCGTGCAGCATATACTGTTCTATGAGACGCAACAGCACTATAATCAGCAAAAATACATAAGATAGAATGTAATTTATAAGCAATTGAACATCTCTAGAAAACAACGAATAATCCATTTTACTCCTGCAACATTTAATAACCTCCCTACCACTAAAATAAATATTTCACAATCACCTGTGGAAAACTAAATCCATTATAGTCAAGAAGTTGCTTTCTGATTCCAAAGAAAAATGACTATTAATCCAAGATCTTTTTATTAACAAGCATGTGATTCTCTCCGAATGTCAACATTAACGATGTGCGACTTTGGTTGGGGGGAACAGACAGCCAGCTTCACAACTAAACACGGTTGTATGCAACTGACTTGCCGAACAAGCGACGTATATACACAACTTGCAGTGCACTTGCAAGGGCTAGCAAAATGTATTCTGCAACTGTGTAAAATATAACGCGCCTCCGAGTGCTCTCATTTGCTGTAGAAGCATACACAGGACCATTGCACGATCAGTTAATAATAATTAGCTAATAAGCATTAGAAACATGTAGAAGCTAAGCATAGCAGAGGTTGTACATCTCATTCATAAATGTTCCAATGTAATACAGCACCTTTTTTTGAAGGAAGGGGGTGTTGAATATTGGGAAATAGAAGATTAAGAGCTGACTCTGTCACACTTATGGAACAAAATCGCCTCACGGAATATAGTTTGACTATTTACAGGTAGGATAGGTAGGATGAAACTACTAAATGCTAGATATTGATGATGAAAATAGAGCACTGAATGAAAATCCTACTAATCAACGGTTTGATATCCATTTTCTTCTGTCATGCTATGATATAATTATTTTTTCAAAGGGTAGAAGGTGAGATAGCGAGAGCTGGATTCCCTAAACCTTTCTGCAATTAAAATAATCAAAATAAAACACATCTGTATCAATCAGGATTCTTTTAGGATAAAATAAACAAATCATTATCTGCAGTGAATTGAGCAAAAACTGCTTTGGACACAATTAGTAATATTTGGCAACTAGTAATCCAGCTATTGACAGTGAAATATATGGCATCCATCATCTTAACCTGAAACATTACTGTTGGTCTGATCATTTGATTTCGCAAAACGCATAATGCTATTAAATGCTCAAACTGCATTTGTATGTTTTCCCATCTCTTAGTAATTCTTCCTCCCAAAGAATGTCATGGCTAAAAATATACTTTTTAACACGGCATCTTTCAGCCCCTGTTTGAGCCACATTATTTTTTTCATTCTTCTACTCATTTTCAACCACACATTCTTCAATAAAATAATATTTTTCATTACATCAATAGTTTTTCCTTCTTTTTCAACCACATATTCCCCATCACATAAAAAAAAATGCATTCTGGGAGCAAAAATGTGCATCAAACAGCAATGTATATTCACATAAGGATCCTTTTCAATATATTAATTAATCGATATTTCAAGCTTGAGGCCAGGTGCATTTGATATTCAACCATGGTATAATGGTCAAACATCAAATATCAAGCCTTGAGAAGTTCCAAACTTCAACAACCATAAAGCATGTGACAGAACATCAGACATAAGAACACACTGCATGGTCAAAGAGAGAAAGCAACCAAATATTCTGATTGAAAATATCATTTTGCATCATATCAACACAAGCAAAGCTTAATTTAAAAAATTAAAGGAGGCCTTACTATGACGATGGCGACCATCGCGTGCTTTCAAGTACTTCTGCTCTGCTGTAACAGACTCCAATGCCTCCCTCAGTTCAGCAATTTTGACGTTGATGGGATCCAAATGTTCTGTTAAAAGACCCCCACCAGAAGATAAATTAAAATAAATTAAATTCAAAGAGGAAAATAGACATTTGGAAACCAAAGGTAGATATATTAATATTAATCAAATAATTGGTTGAAAAAAGATTTTATATAAGAAATCAGACAAACCATCCTTGGCCAGGTCATGTTCACTGGGAATATGACCAATGTGAATGTAGAAAGAGACTGTTTCTGGTGTAGAATAAGGATTATGGAAACAGAATTTGTACATTCCACTTCTGGGGGCCTTAAACTCAAATTTGTCCCCCGATGTTCCTTTCAAAGTATGGACCGCATTACCTCCGGGAGATGTCACCTGCGTGAAGAAGCAACAAGTACAATTAA